AAACATATTTTCGCACTGTATAGTAGGATTTACCTTCAAATAAAAACATCACCGATCCTAAGCAATGGTTGGCATCCAAAACGGTCACCTAAACATGAAGTTATTGTTCACATTCCAACGAATAGACCTTTGGTTGACTTTGACTCTAATTCAAGGCCACCGCAATATTAGGTTGTCGCAAGAATAATGTCACTGCTGCTTTTAATCATACAGCCATACTTTTGTACTCATTCTGAAGTCGTTAGATATCTAGAAGTACAGAAATGACTACGCTTCGGCGATATCATTTTGTTTTTATTTGATTTTTTCTTCCGAACAATGTCTAACCGAACTTTCCGAGTGCACTCGTAAACGTTCTACGACTCTTACGATTAGATGCTGGATTCGTCTCACACGATTATGGCAGAAATTCGCAAACAGAAAGCGGTCTACTCCGAACCGTGCACTGTTTCGACAAGAAATGAACACACAACAATTTCACAACTTCGCTACACAACGAATTAGCTGCATATTGAAGGCAAAGTTCGGGCTCAGACCCACCTAAGAAGCCCTTACCATGGCTAGAAGTGCTGGGTACGCAAGTGCAAAGGTAGCGCCACCTTTCTACATCGAAACGCGTCACTAGGACCCTAGGCGCCATGGACTTCTAACAGACTCCACCAAACTTAACATGGTCCGCCCACCGTTCGATATCTTGTCTGCGTCGTTGATCTGCTATGCTCTCTCTTCTCGGACTTCTCTACCACTCTCCGCGCTCACATTATCTCTCATCTCCCTGTCTTTTGAACTTCTCCACAGCATAGAGCAAAATGCTCGTATTTCCTGTGTATTTCAGGATTTTCTTTCCTTTTTTCCACTGGCGGTCCACCTCCATCCCTACTTTCACATTTGAGTGGAATCACCTCATCAAGTTCAATGCTGATTCTTGCCTTTAAGGAAATCACTCAGCAAGGAAGTGATACTGGAATGAAGACATTTGAATTCTGAGCTGCACAGCTCCAGTCACACTCCATCTAACAATAAATAAGTGCTGCATATCCGACTCAACGCAGAAAGCCGTGAAGAGGAAATGGATCTCATACTGCCAATTCCGACCCTGACGGACCATGGTTGTTAGCACACAGTTGCTCGAATTCTTTGAAAAGAAAGTCGAATCTCTACGCCAAAATGGTGAATCCCGCTACAGTAAGATAGGACCCATCTTTTGTTCCAAGGTGCCGGCTGCTGTTTCAGTGAACTTTATTTTCATCCAAAACTGCATTTACATCGCAACGTGGTATATAATTCCAACTAACCTGCAGATTTGGCTCGATCACATGCGTTTGTCCCACTTTTAACGGATGCAGCAGCCGCGATGGTACAGCTCTATTTCTGAATGACCAGAAGCAGTGTAGTGAAAGACGACAAGCAGTTATTTACATTTAGATAACGCAATTGTAGAAGGAAAAATAGGTGCACAGAAAAGTAGCACATCTAAAAACTAACCCCATCATAATAGGCAATATCTTAGCTGTAACCTCCGAGCAGTATATTGGAGTCTTCCAGCTTTTCTAAACGAAATGCTCTCACCAGCATCATACTGTAAAGATTCTCAAATAAACTGTACTCACATTCAGGTTGACGAAGTGGTCCACGTGAGCATGCGTCAGAAAATGATACTTGCACTCATCCTTACGACTGAAAAGTCTCCCGAGAATAGTACGCAACGAAACGTATAACAAACGACTCACACAAATCGATCGACCGCGATGTACCGTTGACCAATAACAATTCTTCCGCATTTGGGTACTACGTTCTCAGCGCAGTCATGGTCCTCAGCTCTAAAACGTTGAGTAGATTGCAAAGCAGACAGAAAAATTATCTCGTAGAACAGCAGAGGAAGATTACTGCGAGTTTTTCCCTGGTTCTTCATCACAGTGCGTCGTACATAGTTCTTTTTTCTTTACTTACATGCTAGTTTTTAAGAGCGCCAACATATACATGTAAAAACCTTTCCTTGAAAAATACGCAAATTTTGAAAACGAAAACAAATCGACATAACTTGTCTATTATTGCATTCGCAATTCCACTATCAACATCAATACAAGCCAACCAACCCCAAATCTTCATAAAACAAGACGATGCCGCCTGTGCACATAAAAAGCACGGCTTCAAATTTTATAAATGATTTTTCTCTATCCCTTTTTCTGAGCAACAAACTTAACACACTCAATCACGGATCAGGTTGTGAATAAATTAACACGCGGCAAGACTACTGAACGTCGCCCTTCATTCGCCTGCCCCCTAGTATTTCGTGACAAGACTAGCACAGAAAGGGCAAAAAGTTGAAGTAGTAGCACAACATTTGGGAAATATAACTAGAAGAAACGCAGAAAGCCGACGTAATACAACAAGAGAGCAAATGTGTAGAGAAAAATCAACCAATGAACCCTACCTCACCATTCTTCTCCCAGCAGATTACGCATCCCCTACCTAAACCGTTCACTCAGCCTAACCTAATCCTCATCTCCTCCAAAAAATCTCCCCTATGACGCCGAGGTGAAAAGTTACAGGAAGGGATCAACGGGAGCACTTCCCCTCACCACACCATCTTCAACTATAAGTACGCCGAATTTAAAGGAAGCGATCACGCTGGCTTCCACGCTGGATTTGCTACCCTCGCGTTATCAATCGATAAGGTGTGAGGCAGTAATTGTTGGACGAGTGTAAGCCCATGGAAGATATGATACGATGAGATAAGAAGCTGCTTGATAAGAGGTGCACTCCAGAATGAAAACGGGACGATAACGATAACGGTATCATATCTAGCACGCTCTTATCGCACCCCTTTCCACATCGATAAGTCTTGGTTTTTGCTGAACGGAAGTGGATTTCGGCGCCTTATCACTCCGTTGATAAGGCGCCACTGCCACTGAAACTTCACGTGTTCTAACATTGGGCAGGACCCCTATCCACTCCAGTACACAGCTTTCCTTATCGTCCCTATGAGAATTATCGTGACCACTTCCTTTAAGTAATTCATGACCGAATCTTTCAAACTAAACAGCCCACTCCAAACAATCACTAAAGGCCACAGTAGCCTTTTGCACGAATCAGAAATCAGAAAGAGGGCCATGGTCGAACTGAGAGATCACTCCTCATGATGCAGCCGTTTTCAGGTTCCCCTCTTTGACTCCAGGTAAGACAGAGCTTGCGTCGGCGTGCAGTTCTAATGGGTACGAGGTTGTCACAGCGTTACAGCCGAAACAATGACGGGCTACATGTCACCACAGCAATTTGAATTCGCAGCAAACGTCTGATGAATACGCCATATCATGAGGCATCACCGCCAGATTAGATTTTAAGGGTCACGATTGTTGATGGTGAAGTTGTGGATGCCGTATTTCTAAAATTGGAAAAATAAGACCAAAACGCCGATAGAAGCCGTGGAAGCCCAAACGAATATTCCTGCCAAATAAAGAAGGGCGGAGGCTGAACGGTTCTGCACACTTGCCCTCTCTACGGCTCAAACTAGCGCGCGCGTACTTGATTTATGCCGGCACGAAGTTATGTGCCCTCGCCTTCAAATGACCAGAAATTGTGCAATTGCAGAAATTGACGTGGCATTGGCACACGTGGCTAAATTCTCGATGAAAAGGTGACATCACGTGTGCTCAAAGATGTTCTTGAATCGATGCCACGTTAATGCCACGTCAATTTCTGCAATTGCACAATTTCTGGTCATTTGAAGGCGAGGGTACGTGCATCATTGGGATGTGCGCACCATAACTCGTCTAAATGCTAAGATTGGTAGTCAAATGCAGTACCGAGGATGCTGTCTTAGTTGGGAGGGGACCACGCGGCGGCGCGGCGCTCTGTTCGTCTGCTCCTCCAAGGCTTAGTCCCCGATGGCGCGTATTTCGAAACTGCCACGTGATGGCGAAATAGTAACTGCCCCTGGGACTAAGCCTTGGAGGAGCAGACGAACAGAGCGCCGCGCCGCTGCGTGGTCCCCCAACTAAGATAGCGCCCGCCACTGTCGCGCTCTTTCGATCCGCGATATCTGTGCTACTCACGGGCTACTCTATCCTACCCATTGAATGGATTCTTCGACATGACTTCTGCTGAGAGTATTGCTTAACAAGCCATTACAAACCTCTCTGGTGCCCTTTGATGAAGTGATGCTTCCAATGCTTCGGTTTCCCGTTCTTTTGCCATCTGCTCAGCGAACGGTAAGGTTGTAGCAACAGATGGAATAATGTGAACGGCATTGAGAGACTCATTGCCAAACCTTACACTTCGTGCGCTAAATGAATCAAAACAACGTTCAAGGGTAACAAACGGAGTAGAAAAGACTATTTCTTCCATAACACAAACACTGAACACGGTCCTAAAATAATACATAATTAAAACCTCTGTGGCGTGCGTGTTGGAGTGGTGTTCAACTCCTGGACGGATGGTCGATTAGCTCTTTTGCTCCCATTTCCCTGCGCTGACGTATGACTGGAAATTAGATATTACTAACCTATTACACAATCATTTTTGAATTCACAAAGAAACCTTCGCGGAGAAGTTCTTCGAGGGGTAGATGGGGTAACAGGTACAGCGGTCCGACTTGACGCAGGCTCCCTGCTAAAACAAGACAGGTATTACTACATTAATAAATAGACATGTTGTACTGGGTTCAGCATGCAATACAATGATGACAAGAGTGGGATCTCAGTGTGAACACAATTTTCATGCTCTTGCCGAGACCATGTTCATAAATAGGTTCGGGAAAATCGAAGAATGCTTGAAAAATAAATCCATGATTTGAGAAATTAGGAGATCAGGCAATAGTAGGATAGCAAATGAAAAGCTTTCGCTGATAAGATGAGATAGAGATGTAAAGGTACGGATTTAGGCGCAAAGAAGACTAACAGATTAGGCAACATTGATTAATCATTGCAGCGCAGTCCTTACAATCTACTAATATCGTGACCTCCTAAGACTCTAGTCCTTTTCAGAGAACTCTAGTGATCCCAATCTCCCACTCAACACATACCTTCTTCCATACCACCTGATTTCAAACTTGATTTTCTAGAGGCAAGCACTAATTTGGTGATTTTGAATCACATACGTAACACTTTGAGGCGCTGAGCACGACCGCGCCTAGCGAACACTGG